TTCGACGGGCGTCCATGCCCGGAACCATTCGTTGACGTACGAACACTGGAGCACAAGTGGCGACGAACAGACAGCAACGGCCAGCGGCTACACTCGACGGCGGCAGCACGTAGACTGAAGACAGGCGAGGGCGCGTGCACTCTGCGTCCCTGACGTTCTTCGAGAGACTTCGACAGCGCGGGCGCGCCAGGACCCGCGCACACCCGACCAGGCGCGACCCTTTAGGTTGAGTCGTACGGAAGTCACGACACGACGTGACGACAAGGTCTTTTTCGAATCTAAGGCTCAGCTAACAAATTTCAAATAGATTAGTGGAAGATTCTGATTGGCAGAGCAATTGGGAGTATTTAAAAGTGGAGCTGACTTTCTGCACGTGAGAGGAATCTATAGGCATGAATTACATAAAGGGGAAGGCACCGATGCTCCATCCTAAAAGCTACAATCATTTCAAAATAAAAAAAGAAACTGAGCCAAGGGAATGGTAAGATCCTTTTGAGGTTTCCTTTTTGCATGTCCATGTCCTTGAAGAAGGCTTAATTTTCAACCGGCATTCCAGAATGATGTACGCCATGCTGGACATGTTTGCAATGTTTCAATGGAACCGCGTAGCAATCTATTACACTCCGAATGAAGCACAGTTCTGTGACACAATGACCAACGATGTTGTTGTGCGTTGTTATACTCGGATGCAATTTTACCTGAGCTTATTTTTTCTGCTCTTTTTTCAGATGGCCTTCAGTGACGACTCGTCACGCTACACGGTGGACGTGGTGCAGAAGGTTGCATTTGATGGCCAGGACAGTGACTACCTCACAGACCAACTGCTCCGCACAAAGAAAACTGCAAGAAGTGGGTGATTCCGTGCGGTGCTATTGCAGGAACCCTGTGGAAGCACGATTCTCTCCATAGTTATAAGCTCTTCCTCTTACCGCTTCTAGAATGAGCACCAACTGGGAATTTTCCAAGCATCACCAACGGATTCTTCATTCAATACTTTCCGGACTCAACACAAATGAGACCTATCCCAATTTTGGCAACATTATCATTTTCCTGAACTTTTTTTATTATAGGTTTTTTGGTTGGCGCTATCGCAAATACGGAGCATCCTCTAGAGTTATGTCTGAAAGGGGACAGGAACCCTGAAATGAATTGCTCACGCACCCCGAATTCTCGTTCTCCCCTGCCTAAAGTTCAGTCCCATTTTTAACAACATGGAGGCGTTCCACGTGCTTTGAATGTGTTTCCACAACAAAGTTCCGCATCTCGCCATAGTGCCTCTTGGCTTTTGCACCATTTCATGCTTATCGTACATATGGCAGCCACGAAAGGTGCCTGATAACCCGCGGACCAAAGTCCGAATAGAATTTCGCTCTCCTATACCACGGAAGGGCGGAAGTGGTGTAGTGGCAAGTGGCACGCTTACCACGCGTCGCTAACTGATCTGCTATGTAGTGAGTCGCCGGGCTACACCTTTCCATCTCGGCTCGTTAATTGGTACAATACTACTGGGATAAAAACAACTGACTTGTACATCGGCTGGCCCCCGCAAGTCATTGTATAGGCCACATCGCATTCAAACGCCACTACGAATGTACAAATGGAAGTAGAATGCGTGCCGCATCCCAAAAAGGGATTGATCAACGGCAAATGCTTTATCCTTTATTTTTTATACAGGAAACCTCAAAACCTATGCAAGGTGGTGACAAATTACGGTAGCTCAGAGAATAATCTGAAAATTTCTGTGCTTTATATCATTTGCTACCATCCTGTGCATTGATAAACCCGCTTAAAAGCGTTCCTGGTAGCGGTAGGGACACAGCTCCTTCCACATTCACTGGTTTGATATCGTAGTCTTGAGAGCTTTTCTGCGGTAGGTGCAGCGCTTAGATTGATCAAAGACTGTTTTGATAATTGAATGTGAAAGATCATTTGCATTAGTATCATAATCTGCTTTGATACACACGAGTATCGACGCAATTTCATGAAGAAGGTCTCTACGATGGATATGATTTCTGAGGAATATGTTTACGTGATGATAGGAGTGCGCGGCTTCGGATTCGGTGAGTCATGTTCCACCTTTAACATCTTGTTTCTTTATGCTAATGCTATACAGCTTCAGGTCAGACGGCAAGAGGAATAAGTGAACGTGAGTGCTTGTTTCGAAGGTAGAGTGGTAGATTGCCCTAAGATGCGACTTCTATTAAATTATTTTATTGACACAACACTTGTGAATACTAACATTTATTAATACATCTTATACTACAATTCCTAGAAGCAATTGTCGAGTTATATTGCAACTTATACAATTATTTCCTACATTAGTTAGCGTTATGTTTGGTTAGCCTTTATTCTGAATTCCTATTGGGTTCTTCAATAGTGACGTTGTGCCTTAGGGTATTGGTCGGTAGTGGCTGGAGGTGTGAGTTGGTGGTCCTTGGTTAGTGATATTGATTGGTGGCCTTGGCCGGTGGATGGTCCACTGGCTGTACCTTATTGATTGCTTTGTGCTTATTGATTATTTGGTTATTGCTGGCGTTGCCGCCTTAGGTTATTGGTGCGACCGGAGTCGCTTGTATGGAGACCGCTGGAGACGACTGGAGAAGTTGAGGAGACCGGCGAAGACCGCGAAGACTGGCCCGGAGTCTCCGAGTGCGTTATTTATACCCCCAGAAATGGGTGGTATTTATACCCGGGCCAGGGGGCGGTCCGTTGGAATGGCTGGTTGGAATGGACTGGCAGTGCGGCCAGCGGCAATTTGAACGCCGGTTTTGAGTTAGTTAATCAATAGGATGACGTGTCAAGGATTCACCTTGGTTTCTTCGTCGCATCATGACGGAAACGTCATGACAGTGCTTAATTATTACTTGTTACATGATACTCAAGACTTTACCATAAGATTTGAAGAGCCGTTCTCCGGGCCCTACTCAAAGCTACTTTACCAATGCAATACTTCTTCACGATCCTTACATAAAGTTTGGGATTATTATGCCAGAACTGGCGTCGGTGGCACTAACACCCACTACTGAAGCCAACTCTGCCTCGATGGTTCAAGTACTAGCACTTCGATTGCGAAAGGAAACATTTCCTTGACGCGTGGACTAAGCCTTGAAGAACGATCGAATGCATCGGTCGAGAGGGGTTGGGTTAAATGTACTGATTATCGAAATGGCGTTGAAGGTCCGAAAATATATCGTAGTTGGATCTGGAGAGATGGGTAGGTGGGGAAGGGCAGTTCGTCGTCAGTGGTATACTAAGGTTACCAGAGGCCAAGGTTTGCTAGCGAAAAGCCAGTGCCCCCTCCGGATCACCTTCACCATGTTGAGAAATGCAAGCCTTCTTTCTCTACAGATCTTACCCACACACTGTCTCCTCCAGCTGAGATTGTAACCAGTATAAATTTTGCTACTCCACTCAAAGGCTTGAGAAGAAATAGGGTTAACAACGCTAATAGAGAAAGGAAAAGGACTACAATGGAGGACAGAAACTCCTGAGCTTTCAGCTCTCGTGAAAGAGAAAACCATTTACTTTTAACATGTTGTGGCGGCACGCCGTTCTGTGCGCACCTACTCATGAGTTTTTTTTTATGAATTTGAATCAATAGTTACTACTTTACACGTAATTTCGCTACCGTTAAAGGCATGGTGACGTGTCCTGTCTCCAATTGTAGTAGACAGGAGGATAAGGGCCTTGATGCCTTTCGCGGCTCGAATGTGCGCGACAAAGGCGCTAAAAGCTCGTTCGACTCGCATTTACAAATTCGTCCACATGCCCCACCTTCCTCTGTCGGATGCCACATGAGGCCGATTTCACACTTTACACTAGCGTCTGCGGTCGCGTCGCGGCCAGTGAATCACTCGATTGGCTGGTACCGCAACGCGACCGCGGACGCCAGCGAATCGCTAGTAGCGAATCGCTCGATTCGCAAAGTTTGACATTGGTCCCACGCTGCGAGAACAGCGCAATTGCCGCATCGACTGCACTATTTTAATGCCAGGGAATTGCGAACTAATAGACAATTCATTTTTGATTCTAATGATTTATGGTTTTTGACCGTCGAAACTAATAATCGAAGAAAGTTTAGGACTGCTTAATATCAGAGTTCTCTGTGTTTTCAATTCTGCTTCTAGGCGTGAAGCCGGTGAGACTAGCGACCGCAAGTTTTTTTACATTTGAACCTGCTGGTACCTACAGTACCATTTTCTTCCTTGTTCTCCCTATCGGGCCTCATTAATTGCAACAAATATGAATTGAAAATTATAGGATTCCTCATAGAACTTTCATTATAGATGACTGCCATCGAATCAGATTTGACGGATTTCACAATAAGAACGATGGTCAGAAGAAGGGGAAAATTGCCTAGTTGGGAGACAGGCGGACCTCCTGAGGGTGCGGACCGACGCGCAATTGGCAGCGAAAGATTTGACCTCGGCGATCTGACGCAGTTGGCGCGGTACGCCCACCGACATAGCAGAGAGAGCGTTAGCGTTGAAGAGGGCACGATGAGAGTCGCATCAATGAAATCAACGGGCAAGGAAGGGGTCCCATTTCTCGGGTTCTGGGCCGTTTCTCATGGTTTTTCCTTCTTTCTTGTATCACTGACCATCCTAACCTTAATTTGAAATGGGTTGCCTTATCGTAAATTCCGCCTTCGAGGCATCTAACAGCAAACGTGGACTTTTTTATTTGTTCGTTTGTTCGATGCTGTTCTTATCAAAGGTGAAACTACTGCTCATCTCCTCAAAGATATCTCTTGTTGCAGTTTCTAATGGGTTGACACCATTTTGGGAGGACGTCGATAACAATCATGCTGATGATGCAGTTATAAAGAACGCAGCCAGACGGATGCTATCGGCAAATTTTATTTCCACATTTTCTGGTTGTGCCTATAGAGCAACAAGTTTGATAGCTTCATGTTTTCAGTTCAGGTGGACATCAACGGTGATGACGTCGATCCGAAAATGCTGAAGGATTTCCAAGCGAAAGTGGTGGCACGAGTGCGCGATGATCCACTTTACTGCGATACATTAGAATGCATGTCAAATGACGGAAAGCAGGTATGTTCACTGAACTGAGAAGCATCTCCACTCAGCGAACTTGCAATTGCCTTACATGGATAAACCCTATGGGAATAGCGATCTGCTACCACCTTCACCTCCCTCTCTCTCCCACTCCAAGCTGTTGTTGCAGGCTGTTGTGGTTTGATGTTACCTAGCGGCTACTTTCGGTCATGACGCTGAGTGCATACTGACGCACTTTCACCCGCATAGTGGCGGATCATACGGTAAAAACGAAGGTCGAAGAAAGGAATTACCTAGTGGAGAGACAGGCGGACCCTCTAAGGGTGCGGACCAACACGCAATTCGCATCGAAGGATATGCCCCGGCGATCTGGCATGGCCTTCCCTTTGGCGCAGTTGGCCCGGAACGCCTACTGACATAGCTGTTTGTCGATCGAAGCCATTTTTAAAGGATAGCTTCTCAACTTCTTCTTGTACAATAAGTCCGTCCACATATCATGATTCTTGGTCCTAAAATGCAGCAGCTCTGCTCTGCAAAACTCTTCGCTTAGGGTTGGTCCTTCGGTATTCAACGGACATTTGCGAACCTGAAACGATGTAGCTTTGAAAATGTGATTGCTCAGTGAAAGCATTTATGGGAATAGTGCTCACCGCATAGCAACTCTGCAGACTCGTCGTAACTCACGCAACAGCTATACCTTTGTGGTGAACTTGGTGAGATGGCCTCACCAAGAAGTACCACTGCTGCGATACCGACTGCCGGTTTCAGCACAATCACCACCGACGCTTTCCTCTTCCTATGGTATGCATCTCCGTAAGCTGCCATGAGCAGCTTACTCAGCTGATTATCTGCGTCGAATGGAAAGACCTCACGGGCGAGATCGTATTACTGAAATTGGAAAAAGGCTCGCACGATGCTGTATGAACAAAAATGCCTAAGTAATCGTTTATCGACTCACATGTGCATCTTGAGGGCACATAACAATGCGGCTCGCTGTGTATGCCGCGAAACTGTCTGCTCCACATGCACCATTACCATCACCTTATCATTAGAAAGAGCTTCTAAAAAACGTCCAGATAATCGGTTCTTCACCTGAAAGCGAGGTTCTGCGACGTTCACACGACATATGATTTCATCGCCTTGCTCGGAACTTCTGCAACTCGCCGATCGTCGCGCTACTACTATTTTGTATTAGCTAACAATGCTCCCCAATTTTACGCATAAAACCTTGCATAGAAGGCCTGGAAACACTTCCGACATATGCGCAATCCCGAACACTCAGAACAACTTGATACATACATAATGCTACTAAAGCTTATAAATGAACACGAGCAAAAAAAAATAATTCGTTGAATGGTTTTCGTTTGTTAGAGGG